GTTAGTGATAACGGTAAAAAGTCATATCCCCCCCCATGACAAAAACCTAAATACGCCACTGACGAAAAACGATTCTGAGTGAAAACGGTTTATCTGTCTAGGATATAGGTATTATAATATAGATTATTAAAAATGTTCAAAATTTAGATTTAAAAAGAAAATTTTTTATGTTGTCAAAATTCAAACTTTGAATGCTTATAAAAAAAAAATTGTGACTACACAGGGTGTCCTGCTAGGATTTACCCATTGCGATATCTCACGAAATAATTGAGATATCGAAATTCTGGTTTTACAATAAGATTCACCGGGATAAGAACTACAATTATTTCATTTTTAAATTTATTTTAATGTTTTTGTAAAAAATGTAAAAACTATATTTTTTAATTTAATTATCTCCAAAAATATTAAAGATAGCCATTTTGTAGAGTTTATTTTTCTGAAAATATTGACGTTTCAAAATTTTATTTTCATTAATTTCCTGATTTTTAATATTTTTTCTAGTTTTGAAGAAATAAAATATGATTATAATTTATAACTATTAGGAACACGAAAGGTATAATTCAGCCGGTTGTATGGGAATGCGCGCGGCGTGGCGAGTCACATGTTTGATAACATTACGGTGTTAAATAATTTCGCAATTTTTCTCGAAACTAAAAAAAATATTAAAAATCAGGAAATTAATGAAAATAAAATTTTGAAACGTCAATATCTTCAGAAAAATAAATTCTACAAAATGGCTATCTTTATTTTTTATGGAAATAATTAAATAAAAAAATATATTTTTTAATTTTTTACCAAAACATTAAAATATGAAATAATTGTAATTCTTGTCCCTGTGAGTCTTATTACAAAACCAGGATTTCGATATCACCATTATTTCGGGAGATATCGCAATGGGTAAATCCTCACGGGACACCCTGTATATTTCTTTTATTTTTAAATTGCTACTGTAAAAATATGTAAGGAGCCGTGTATTTAATTTTCAAATCTTAGATTTAAAAAGAAAAACTTTTATGAATTTTTAACTAAGATATTTTGAACATTGCCGTAATTTTTACGTATTTAGTCAAAATTTGAACTTTAAATGCTTATAAAAAAAATCGTGTCTATACATTTTTAATATTTTCCAACTGCTATTGTTACAATGTTTTAGAAGCCTTGTATTAAATTTTCAAAATTTTCTACCGAACAAATACATTTTTATCGATATTTATAGAAAAAAAAAACCAAAAAAGTTSAAAAATTAAAATGTMAGTAAACAGCTTAAAACAAATCTAAATATTTTGAAAATTATATCAAATATATAAAATGCCTAGATAAATATTCAGTGAAAATTTCAAGTATCTGCGGTCATTTGTTTTAGAGTTACACCAAAATAAGAAAATCGCTAAATGTGAAATCCAGTGAAAATCCAATGTTGTAGAAATTTAAATTTCAAATGCTCATAAAAATTTATTTAAATAAAGGTTTCACATAAAACAGGCTATAATTAGTGAGACAACAACTGTGAATAGTCTATGAATAAATTGAATACATATTAAATATATGGTATGTAATAAGAAATTTAATAAAAGAACAATTTTTATTTTTCAATATTCATGTTTTTACACTAATACATTGTTGACTATCAGCATTCCAATCATAGACCTATGAACTAAGTTAATAGGTCCATGATTCCGTTAAATTAATTTAAGAAATATTGTTCCACTAGGTACCAAACAATATGATGTTTGTTGTCTAATAGATCATAAGAATTATACACTACTGATGCAGTAATTAATTTCATTCTATTTTGTCTTTATAGAGAAAATAATATATTTTATCATTGAAGTTCTTCAATTAATACACAATACAACTATTATAATATTTATATTCATTTTATTATAAAGTTAGTAATCATAAATTAATAATTATAATGTTAAATATAAAAATTCAGAAGAAAGTAAACAGTAATAAAAATGTGGTTTAAAGATACATTTGTAAATCATAAGCATAACTTTTAATTCATAACATAACAGTAATAATTAATAAGTAGGTAATGACTTAAATACCTATGTGAATATATTTACTTATGTCTATAATATTATATAATAATCTGGTAATTACTCGGTAGGTAGTTGATATAACATTACAATTTTTGTAAATAAGTATAGGCATTAACAAATGAAATACATTATTTTTCTATAAATTAGATTTTTTTAAATTAATATTTAATTTATAATATTACTCTCAAGTTTTAATTGATATTATTGTTGAAGTATCATTATTGTTCCATATAGGTACACAAAAAAATAAAATAAAATAAAAACAATATTTATAGTACATTATAATATAATTTGTTAAATTGTTTTTTGATAAAGAAAATATAAATTATAATACTATGTTTGTACAATTTTAAACAAAACATATGTTAATGTTATAATAAATAATTATATAAACTGTCGATGATTATAATTTATAATATATTAATATATACAAACATTATAAAAAATTAATTTTCTTATATTTTTATGTTGATTGCTCATAACAAACATTATCATGATTTTAGTATATAATTTTATGCTCTTTGTGTGGTATTTAGGTTTGGTGATTTTTTTTGTTTGGTATAACTATACAAAAATATTGAACACATAACAAGTATTGTACCTACAACAAACTGAATACTTATAGTAAAATCGAAGAAATACATTGAGAAAACACATGCTACAATAATTGCTAAAGATGTAGCAAATCCTTTTAATATATTATCAGCATATTTTACAACCATTGCTACAATAAGTCCTCCAGCTGCTTGTAAGCTTATCAAATAGGCTATATAAAGGTCATAACCAAAAAAAAAGCCTTTATCGTTAATTTTATTCCAGTCTGTAACAAAACACATAATAAAACCTAATGGAATAGAAACAAAACTCAATTGGATATTCCGCATCCATATAGATATTTCAGCTCCTTTCAGTATTTTTTCAAAATAAACTCCAGCAAATCCAGACAAGCAACAAGCGATGAGAGCAGCAACTAATCCAACTATTCGATTTTGATCAGGGTAAGTTTTTTGAGTTTTGTCAGTTGAATTATTTAGCTGAACAAGAATGACACCTAAAATCAAAATTCCTAATGCAATCCATTGATGTCGCAATAGTTTACGTTTCAATATTAACACAGAAAACACGGCAGTTGTAAATATTTTAAGTTGATATGTGACTTGATAAGTAGCTGCATCTAAATTTGAAGTTGAAACGTACAGTAAATTATTTTGTACTAAATATACTAAAGATGGAATACAAACTTTCAGCGTGTCTATCGGTTGTTTAATAATTGTATTATTTAGTATTGATATAAAATGTTTCCATGAGATGGACTCTGTTCGATATACTAGTACCAGACAAACGGAGAGTTTTACCACTTCAGCCATGACGACAGCGGTAGATGATATGAACATGTCTCCAGGCCTGGTCCGTGCATAGCGCATGCTAAGCGCAACCATAGCATTTTGAAGGGTTAGCGTCACCAAAGTGATCACTTTCAGAGAAGAGTTGCGGCTGTGATTGGTCTGCATTGTTTCTACTTGTATTTCTAGATCTATTTCTTCTTTTTGGTCGGTCATTAAATTACCTACTACCACTTGTACTTGACTTATAGTAATAGTAGCTTACTGAGGTTCGGCTATAGATTTATCTCGATCTTGGACCATTTGTCGAAACACCGACAATCCGGCGGAGGAGACATCTGACATAGTCTGGTACAAGAGGATAGTTGGACGAAAATATTCAAAACACAAGCGTCATCTCTTCAAATTCCATGAACTGTCAAAGTAAAATCGAAAACTCCACTGTCTACGAAGACACAGCTACAGTCACTAACTACTAACTAGTTAGTCAAAAGTGTCGTAAAGCTTAGACGCTTAGAGTGAATGTGGCAACTGGCAATTGTCGGTTGCCGACTACGCGAATGTTTACATAAATTATATTTAATGATAATGCATATCTTGATTGCCACCACGTATTTATTTCTTCAAAATATAAGATGGTAACAATATTGTTCTTTGGTCTTATCTTTAACCATGGTTTACACCACAATATATGATATTATATTTATCTTATAAATTATTATAATGCGGTCCTAAAAATCAGCTGCTAAGTAACCAAGTAAGTAGCAGCTGATTAGCAGTGCAGCGTGCATAACTGTTATCAACAAATTTAATATATCATTTCATAAAATTAAATAATAATGAAATATCAATCAAAATTCACAGTTTTAACTTTTAATTTTTATCTTCTAGTCTAATTTCTGACATTCTGAGGTTCTGACGTTCATAATAGTCAAATATTACTGCTTTTTGGTATTTTTTTTACTCAATTCGTCGTTTAAATTATTGTTTTAACTTTGTCTCCCATAGTGATATTCGCTAAGACGTTTAGAACTGAACGCGTTTTGATTCTACTTTTTCCTACTAACTTTTCGACTTCGTCAATCATGAACACCAAAACCATCGTACGGTTTTATCAGGTGCGTTTCTACCAACTCTTAGTGTGTGACGAGAATGTTCATAAGAATATTATTGATAGGGGGCAAGAACTTTACAATAATATGTTTAATATCGATGTTGTTGTGACTTGTCACATAAATAATTCCAATGGCAAATCTCAAAATCAGTCGAAAAATGTATCTTGAATTCTAATCAAAATCAAATAGTTGGATTGGTTGCTGCCCTCATAGCATGTTGCTTATTGATTAAAAGTTAACCAATTGTATAATTAGATACATAATTATCAAATTTAATTAACATTAGAGTTTGGGATGTACATAAGTGTTCTGAAATAAATTTGTGTTCAAAAAGATTTTTAATATTATGCTACCTTAGTAATATATAAAAGCAGGGATTGGCAACCTTTTTGATGTAAAGTAATTAAAGTACTGAAAATAAAATATAAATTTTTCATGGGTCACAATTTGAATGTACCTCCTACCTTATTTTATTTTAAACTAAAATATATATTCATATATAATTTAGTTTATTTAAGTTCTTATCTTTAAGGTTTATTAATTTAACAATATATCTACAAGCAAACAGCATTTGTAAATTCTATCTTAGCTCGTGATTTTCTTACTAATTGTAAAATAAATTTTACACACGGGTAACATTAATTAATAATTAACATTCTACCCTTGTATTAAAGCATTATGTTTTTAATCCTGTTAATGAATGTATAGCATCTAATTCTAAATTTGTCTTTTATTGATTTTTAGACAGTAAAACCTCATCGGCCATTAATCCAGTTTCGATATGGTGTCCCAGAGATAAGTATGAAGAGTTTTTTTTAATGACATTATTAATAATAATCATTATTGATAATCAATTTTTAGATATCCATATCAAATCTATGTATGTACTATTGAGATTGCTTAGAGTAAAATACCTTTAGTCTTTTTTTTTTTACTTTTGCAAACAATTGTTATATTTCATAACAAATTATTTTTAATTAATTAAATATTTTTCAGGGAAATGTATGTAAATTGTAACTGCCCCTAGTGATATTTATATTTAATTTTCTTTAGTAATATTCTTAACTTTATTATTTGTTTTAATTTGGCAAATCTTCAACATTTGTTGGCTTTAATTCAGTAGTACCTATTTAGTATATTGGCCTAATTTAATGTTCACTACAAAATCCAATAGAAGCTGTTTACTCATTATTATGACAATATTGGTCAGCTGATTTTTAAGTTTTAGGGTTGTTCACGATTATATAAAAAACTTGTTGATAATTACAGCTTAAATTTAGTTATTTGTAATTTATTCATCATAATAAACTACTAATATTAATGGTATCCAACCTGTTGTACCTCTGGTTCAATTTCATCCAACCCAGAATTAAAATATTATAAAATTTATATATTGATAAAAGGCCATTAGATTTTAAAGTATTTATATTACAGATAAATMTGATTCAACTCCGTCACCTTCCACAATTAGTGAAGTACAAACAATGGAAGACTATCAACTACCTACAAAATTTAAAAGAGTAATAATAGATGTTGCTGAAATAAATGCTATTAACGTATGAAAATTAAAACAAATTATGATACAGTAGAAATCAATTAATTAAATAAATTGGATATATTTTTCATTATTTAGTTATTTCATTGATTTTGTAATATACCGATAAGCCATCACATAAGCGTTTTCAGTGACTAAAATTATGCTGTCAGCTGCTGGATTTACTATATTCATTTTTATTAAGCGCAATATAAACGGATACAGTGAATCTAGTAGCTGACAGTATGACAGATGACAATATCAGTCATCGAAAACTCCTATATTATGTCTTATTTATATTTTCTAAAATCAATGGTTATTGTAAAGTTTGATTGCTACTGTATGTTCATATGAATAAAATTTGTACTTTTAATTTATAGTAATATTATTTTTTTCAGAGTGGTGGAGCTGAATGAAGTTTCTAAACATATTTCAACTAATATTTATTTTAAATATTTAGTAAAGAAAAAATATATAAGCAAAATGATTTAAAATAATAATATATACACTGTATTAAGGCACCTATTTATTTACTTATTAATAATTATATAAATGTATGTATAAAGTCTACTTTAATAATTTCTTTAATTTGATTTTATTAATAAATTTATTAAAAATTCAAATGAATTTTTCTTATATTTTATTAGTATTAATGAGATAGTAAATACGCCATTGTCATTTTGTTATGTGCATTCCTTCAATTTATTATTATTATTATTTTTGTACCGCCTTAGTTTTGAATATATTTTGGTCTGAAGAAGTGCTCTAGAAGCTTCAAGTACCTTTTTTCAGCTATAGCTATATAATTTAGAAAATAATAGTGGTGGGTCGAACTGTTTGAATCTCGAACCAAACTATTGATGTTCGGTTAGGTTTGAAATTCGAACTCGGTATGAACAAAATTTGAACTGAACTATCAAGCATCTTTTACTGTTTAGAAATTGAACTTGAAAATATTTGTTGAACTGGACTTTAGACTTAATAGCCATCATAATCCAAAGACCAAATATTTGTATAATTCAAAAGTTTTTTTTTTTTTTTTTTTTTTTTTTTTTAATTAGGAAAGAGCCCTCGGCAGCATAGGCCATTGGGCTTACAAAATATGAATAGCTTATTATTTTTTTTTAAATAAAAATTGATAGTGATTATTTAGAAATAATTCCTTAAATTATATACTTATTAATGATAATATTTTATATATATTTTAAAAATGAATAGTACATATTATGTTGAGTTCGAGTTCGACTTAAATTGATTCTAGGTTTGGTTTGGTTCGGGTTTGAAAAAAAAAATTTAAAGTTTGATTCAAGTTTGGTTCTATTTACAAAATCAGGGTTCAACCCATCACTAGAAAATAACAATCTAAAAAAAGTTTAGTTATAATTGATCTCATATTAAAAAATGCCATTTTAGACCCTAAAATATGAATGTAGTGCTGATTATTTGTTTCAAATACATTTAAATATTGTTTATACAAATTTCAGTTAACCTTCATTGTGAAATAATGATTACATAGATACATATTTCAAAATAAATGTAGGCTTACAAATTGTATACTGACTAAAATTAACTTATCTTGGTTCATGATGTTAAGGTAATTTTATTATGATACAATATAGGATAGTATGATGGTCACCTTAATCGGCTTAATCCTTGTGCATAATAAATTATTACTAAATAGATTTTAATATATTATTATTTATTTATTTAATGTAATGTTAATAGGTTTTAACTATGTTGATAGAATCAAAAAAGTTGGTTACTTATTTAATAATTTATTTTAAACTTAAATTTAAATTAAATAACTACTAGGTAACATAATACATGTTTCTTATAGTTTACTGCCCCATGGGTCAAGATGTGTTACTAGTTCAGTGGTTTATAGTTGACGACTGCCCAGAAAATATTCCCYMATCACTCATTTCTCTCGTATTTTTAATGTTCTGATTATTCATTTCAAAATGTGTAAAATTATACATATACAAGGCAGTTGAAAAATTCCAGATGATTATTTAATATTTTTAACTCGGTGTTAAATACATAAGCATTTTATAGTTATAGATTAAATCAATGTATTAATAAAATATATACAGTATAATAATAATATGATATTATACAGTGTGCTCGTCCATATTATGTTTATGTGTGCCATACAATATGCAACTTTTGAATTCAAGATCAATAATAGTATAAAATTATTATTTTTTAAATATATCTAATTGCTTTCATAACTTATAACTTATTTTAGTAGATTTTCTATACATAATACAACACAACAGTGGCGTAACTATGGGGTAGCGGTCGTGACCTCAAAAATGTTTATGGGGTCGCAAGAGTATTATTTAGCTGCTCCAAAAATATTTACATCATATAATAAAAATAATCCGCGTCAGCGTGTATTTACTATTTATTTAATATTTACCTTTATTTAATCAGTTATCAGGGAAAAAAAACTTTATTTGTGAATTTTCGTGTTATGGAACTGTAAATATTATAATGATTTTTATAATTATTTAGAAGGAAGTTTTGTGTAAGTGGTACCCACCCATTATGCTTATTGGAGAAGGTGAAGCATATAAAAGTGTTCGCTACCCCAAACATTTGCTGCTAATTACGTCACTGCACCACAACATATTGTTAAGATAAGAACTAATAACGCAATAGAATCAGAGTAGTTGTAGATTTCTACGAAGTTGATATGTGGTCCCATCGTAAAGCCTCTTATAGTAATTTCTCAAAGATATATTGTATTTAATTGCATCTCCAACAGTGTCTCTCATKTTTACTTCGTTGCATATATTCCTCCTGTGTTTTACAGAATTATTATTTATAATTAGCAATTTACTAAAAGCTTAAGACAAGTTTATATTTATCCATGTATTAATATGTTCAGTTATTAATACTTGGTTAGCATTTGCGCAATACGCCAATACAAGAGCTAGGCCGTGCGTACCCAAGAGATTAAAAAACAAAAACGGCTCTAGTCTTCTCCATATGTATTTTTGTAAAGATGTTTAATTAAATATTAACGCGCGGTTTTTATAAAAGTTGAGAAATATAATATTGATATCATATTCGTAAAAAAATTAAAAATATGAAATGTGATACCAATCACTTATCAGATACCTACAAGCAAATAATATACTGGTGAATGGAACTATGGAAAAAAATAATATAAAAATAAGTTTCTTACAAAAACCATGGTTAATTAATTAAATCAAAATCTGTAATAGCAGATTGCGTGATAGAAGCATTATTAAAATAGTGGAGGTAAAAAAGGATAAAGAGGAGAATATGGCCTTTTTGATATGGTATATTCCTATATATGGTATCGCATGGCGAGACTTTGAAACTGAAAAGATAAAGGAGTGTAAAAGKTCTATAAGAATGTAATAGTGGCTATAATCTACATAATTCCGATTTCCGACTCTACGGACTTTGTAGTYGACGGTGAAGACATCCCTCGACATTTTGAAATTGTAGTAACTAGCAACATTCAAAAGAGGATTCGGCTGATGTGCCAGAGTCGTATCTTCACTCGTCAAGAGTGATCGATGAGACGATGACTTGTCGATCGTGATTCCCCGGTGCTCTTTTACCCCAGCATCACTCACGACTAATTTCAATGACCTCTGACGTACTARTTGGGGTAGTTATTGTGGAAATTCCACGGTTAAGTCTGCAGTGGGATTATCTATGAAATCTTGTGTTGGTTCAGCAGTTACAATCTCCGAAAAATCAGTCGTTTTTACCGGTACTTAAGTAGCCTAAAATTTCCGATTTTTTTTTTTTTTTGATCTACAGCCCGACAGCTATGGTCATTAGTTATTGTAGTGGTTACAGTTGGTACTGTTGGTATGGTTGATACGGTTGGTTCAAACACGACGTGTATGAGTGGCAAGGATTTGCGATTTGCCACTAAGAATCCRGGTGGTCACGCATCCGAGAATTATTATAATATAGTGGCACCGGCCAGTTGCTGGAAGTTTTTAGTTTGGTAGTGTATTATAAAATCGTATAATTTTTTTTAAATAGAATATTATCAATTAATATCAATGGAATATTTAAGATTTTCCAAGAACCTTAAACCTGTACATTTTTCGTTATGAATAATGTATCATGTATGGTATATTATTGATTATTGGTAATGCATTAATGTTTGATTGGTATAGGTGTTGGGTCGTAACTGGATTCAAAACAGTATTAACGTCAACATATCGTCTTGCAGCCAAAGTGTAGTTTTTATAAAGACAAACATGAGCTCAGTTTACCCATAGGACCTTTCATCAAACTTTTAGAAAAAATGACTAAATAGTTAAGTATACCTACAATAATTTTAGCACGCCCTTCATATCATCATCTCTATTTGCGTTAACGTTGCCTACACTATAGAATATAGACAATAAAATTAATACTATCATTAAGTATTTATATATTTATGCGTAAAATGTAATTTAAAAGCAATTTTCAATGACAATAAATCGGTTTAATATATTTTAATCTTCATAAAAGTATATTAACTAGATATCAATATTAAATACTGATAAACGCAAACTAAAATGTTGAAACTTAATGATTTTACCAGCTTGGGCTTAACATACAGCCAGGCATACCACATTCGCAATGATACACATTCAAATGTAAATGAGCTTTAATCTTCGGATTTATTTTCTTTGGTTCTTCACCTGAATCTTCTTGTACGACAGGAACTTTCATGTCTTTTTCTTTATTAATTATAGAATCTTCATCACTAACATAACAATAATTTAAAATAGGTATGGCTAAATATGAATAGTGTATACATTAATTTATAAAAATACCTTATGATTACCTGCTTGTTTTTATTGATTCACTAGTACTGCTGCCTTTTACATAAACAATTTGTTAAATTGTTAAAAGGATTAAAATTACAATGTTAAATTAAAAATATACATACTATTATTTAACTTAGGTTTACAGCACTTATAATGATGTGCTTCCACTTTGAACGTGGCATTAATATTTTTTCCARTTTTTTTTKATGTAACTTCCATATTTTTGTACTCATCATTATCCAAACATGCATCTTTCTTTTTTAAAGATTCTATTATTTTTTTTCGATCGCTTAAAGAAGTAAACGTACGTAAGTTTATAAAGTTTTATACTAATTACACTTTTAATGGGTTTGACAATAAATCAATAAATTTACAAGTCACTTGTGGATTGTAAAACTAGATAATGTACCTATAATGTACTATATAGATACAGTTGGGTACCTAATAACCATTTAATTTGAGTCAAGATAAAGTTATTCTAAATTCTAAATAAATTTAAGTAACTAAGTTAAGTACATAATATTGTTTTAAGAAAATATTAATTTTAAGTAAAAATTACTTTTTTTAATTACTCATCGCCCTTATATTTTGTATTAACTGGAAAACAGTAGARTTTTGGTGTAACCTAATGATGAGAACATCTTAGAATTATATTTTTTTACCATTTGTAGAAAAGATAGACAGATCTAAAATAAATACACAACTGATAAATTACAATATTCATCTACCTAAACATTTTATAAAACATTTTTTTTTTTTAAGTTGTAGTCAGCTGTTGATCTTCTTCTTTTGTTTTGAAGTTGACCTGTACTGGCTGTACTATACAATCGCCTTCCACGAGGGCTTAGTGGTATATTGCAGGTAAGTAATATATTTCATAAATACTTTTGTAAGCCAATTTTTGAAAATTTTCATATATTAATTGAAAACAATTACCTCTTTATAATGGTAAATATAAATGTATAAATAACCTTTTAGAATTAACTTAAGCTATTGCAAAATACTTAATTAAGTAAAATTAAAAATATTTATRAGATAACCATGAGCAATTATAATTTAATAATTTACTTCACTTGTTCTTTTTAAATATTATACATTTTTTATTTTATTAAGTTAAAGTTATTGAAAAGCATAACTTAACATTTATGTGATTTTACTCTTTAACTAGTTAGGTAATTAGTAATTAGTACAGTTTTGTACATAGGCACTTACCTAAATGACTAAACAAATAATTATTTTAATAAAAAATTATGTATATTGTACTGTCTTACCTGATTTCTTTTCTATGCTCGTTSATTTTGGATCTATTCATATTTTCACCTTCGTTAAAGTATATTTATATTATAAATATAATAAGACGTTAAATAATTTTTGTTTGAACTTACTGCAAGATTTTTTCGAATGATACTCCAAATCCATCATGTCATTATTGGTCTAATAAATAATAATCATGGTTAGGTATGTACATAAAGACAGTGCTTAAAATATAGTATGACATCGTATATCAAGGGATTTCCATCACCTCCCTCCACCCCATTTTAGATTCTGAGCGGAGCGATGAATGTATTGATTTTACCATGATGTATGTGTGTTTTTTTTTGTGTCTGTCATCACGTTTTGGGGCAGTAAAAGTGCTTCGATTTTTGACTTCAGTACCTCGGTCGATCAGAAAGTGAATTTAGTTGGTACTTTGGGGGGTCAAAAGTAAAAAATACTTAATATTTTTCTAAATAATCGGGATAAACAAAATTAAAATTAAGGGAAAAACGGGAAATTTTACGCACAATCAATTTTCGACAAAATCAATTTTGGTTTTTGATGTAACTTTTAAAAAAATGACCATAGATACATGAAATTTTCACCGAATGTTTATATAAGTATATTCAATCCACCACGCAATTTTCAAAAAATTTTGACTTAAGTTGAACTATTCATAGGCATATGCAATTTTCGATCATTATTAATTTTTTGTAAGCTAATATCGATAAAAATGTATTTGTTGGGTAGAAAAGCTTGAAAATTTAATACAATACTCTTAACATATTTTTACAATAGCAGTTGAAAAATAAAATAAATTCATAGTTACAATTTTTTTTTATAAGCATTCAAAGTTTAAATTTTTTACAAAATACGTAAAAATCACGAAAATTCGCAAATTATTTTAAGATAGAAATTGATAAAAAAAATTTGTTTTAAATCTAAGATTTGAAAATTTAATACAAGATTCCTTACAAGTTTGTTAATCTTTATCACAAAWAAAATTTCCACCGGAAATTAAAATTAAATTTTTATAAGCATTTTAAATTTAAATTTTTACAACATTTGATTTTCACTGGATTTCACTTTAGCAATTTTCTTATTTTGGTGTAACTCTAAAACAAATGACCGCAGATACTTGAAATTTGCACTAAATGTTTATAAAAGCATTTTATATATTGATATAATTTTCAAAATATTTAGATTTGTTTTAAGCTGTTTACTGATATTTTAAGGTCATATTTTTTTTTTACAAGCATTCAAAGTTTGAATTTTGACAACATATTATGTAAAAATCATGAAAATTCGTAAATTATTTTATGCTACAAATTCATAAAAGTTTTTCTATTTAAATCTAAGATTTGAAATTTAAATACAAGGCTCCTAACATATTTTTATAATAGCAGTCGAAAAATAAAAGAAATATATAGTCACACATTTGTTTTATAAGCATTTAAAGTTTGAATTTTGACAATAAAAAAATTTTTCTTTTTAAATCGAAAATTTGAAAATTTTTAATAATCTATAATATATCCTAGACAGATAAACCGTTTCCGCTCAGAATCGTTTTTTGTATATACAATGATATAATATCATTGGATTCAAATTTAATTTCATCTATTACAGTAACCCACTTGTTAACTACTGTACAGCAGAGCGACATCCACTTTCTCGCTTTTTTATCATTGAACTATTATGCATCAGATTTAAATCTTCAAATAAGTAATGTTATGTTTAATCGTATATTTTTACGATTAAACGTAAATTATTCTGGATGCAATACTCTGCAGTATCTTTCGAACCCCCGCCATATGACTTTTGTCATATAGCCTCATACATAAATTGGGCGATCGGCGATACTGCATAATACAAACTGCAGCAAATGCTGTAAATGAACGGTGGTCGAGTAATTCTTAAACACGAGGGATAGATGCGTTGTTTACTTGTTTATTAAGGTTCAACTTACTTAAAATTTTACTCAGCACTGGCCTAGAGAAATTTATAATTTTTAGTAAAAAAAAATCTATATATTATGAATTAATAATATTATATAGCTGGTTGTAACTCGAGGTTCAAAGGAACGGTGAAAAATGTAGATATAAGTTAATGTAATATGGATGTTTTCTACTTGATATCTATAATGGTCGAATGTTMAAATATTAAGGTCTAGCTGCTGGAATATTCTCCGTCACTACATATTATAATTTATTATATTATTATTAAATGCAGAAAAAAAATTATCAGGTTTTTAATAATTAATAACAAATCATTTTACAGATTCAAACAAACGAAAAAATAAAAAATATATCTAATGGTTAACAAATAACAAGAAAAATTCTAGGATTGGTCAATTAAAACTTAAGGAAACAGCCTTGAGTTCAGTGTCTCTTTAGTCATCACTCATTAGATCTTATATTGGTATTATCCTTGCGTTAGTTCAAAACTGTCGTCAACAATAATTGAGTCGATCAATTCAAAAGTGCACAATGTATGAATAATAAGGTATTTAATTTAAAATTACAGACGTTAATTTATTTTAATAAAAATATTAACCYATCACAGAAAAATTTTGATTCGTATACAATTAAAGAATATTCATTTTCATCAGAAATTTTCAAATAATAAGTATTGTGAACCAGCGGTAGTGGTATGTAAACCATATCTACATTGAAATAGTTAAAAAAAATGTATTTTCTAATGAGGGAATCAACTAAATAACTGTTGGTTGATTCCTCTTAATGGCATGATCATGAACGTAATTTGGGATGAGGGGTAGGGTTTGAATTTGCATAATTTTTTGTGTAAAACGCTTTCTTTGGACTGCCAAAAATGAAATCGTCGATGTACGTTTTATATATGATATMAAATATATAGATTATAGTATATTTAAGGATATATATTATATACATAATAAAATTCTTTAATCTAGATACAATCCAAATCGAAGTATTTTAAAATAACAGGAACCCATATTTTTTTTAAAAAATTACCGATTTTAATAATGATAATTAATTTTGTAATTTACTTCTGAGATAATTTATATTTTTTCGGGTATAATGAGATCCATTATTTAATTATTACCTTATGTATGCAGTGGCGTATTTTTATTTTTATTTTTTTTTTTTGGGGGGAGGGGGGTGTCCTCCATGTCTTGACACCCCCCGACATTTAAAAAAAAGTCCTAATATATTGTCACATTTTATAGTATACCATTTTTTATCAAATGTAAGACTTCGWGTCAATTYCTAACATATTAATTTGTTAAAAAATTAATTCAATATCTTTTTACATTAGTAAATAATACTAAAAATTTTGTTTTTGAGGTTCAATAAATGTTGACACCCCCCCGAGAAATCAACCAAAATACGCCACTGTATGTATGTGTGACATATTACTTATAAAAAATTAAACAGATTATAAAGAATATATAGATATGCTCTAATTTTAATCCTTAATTTATATTTTTTAAACCGAAACCAAACAGCTAGGAACCAGAACTTTCTAAAAAACTAATTATTATGTACCATCATTGACACCAGAACCAGAATCGAAAAACAAATGGTTCCAGTCTCTACTTTAATCATGAATAATTTAAGTGAATATATTATTACATTAAATAATGTAATGGTATAAGTATACATTAAATATTAATACTTATCATTGATAAAAAAAAAAAATAATAACTAATAAGTAATAAGTTATTACTAATTAATGATTAATGATTTAAATTTATATTACCTTTTTTGATCTTAAACAATATAATTGACTGTCTGTATCTGAACTAATATTTCYCTCTTTGTCAATTTTCCTATTAACGTAATATCGATATTAAATTCAAATGAGTACAATTATAAATATTGTGTGTATTTTCCAACCTAAGTTCTGTGTTATATTGTGAACACTCTGAATTCTTTAATTTTGAATGATGAACTCTTTTCATTCTGTTCGGCTGAATTTGTGTTTCTAAATATTGTGGTGAGTATTGATCATTTCCACGTGAAATGACATTTATTTTTTCTGTAACATTGGTCTTGGTGACCAGTGTAATTTTTGGTGAAATAGTTCCCTACGTGATTATCCATTGTTATTATTTGTAGTTTATTACCTACATAATATCTTTTATGTTGCTCATGCCAATGACATAAACAATGGTCTCAATTTTTTTTTTTGAAATAATTAATTTTTTAATCAGTACCTAGGTATAATAGGTAGGTATATATATTATAATTAGTTAAACAAAGCTGCATTTTAAATATAAAAAAAAAAAAAAAAAATGTGAAAATTAAATAATGTAAATTTCGAAGTGGCATATATTTATATCCTCTAATTTGATAGGTAGGGAGAGATGAGGTCCTATTCTGCTAGATAATAACTTTTTTATTTTGTCCTCACATAAAACTATTAACATAAGTGTATAGTTTATGTAATAACTAGCTAACAATTAACAGATTACTAATAATTTATACTTAAACATGTTTTATGTAGGAAACAAAGCTAGAAAATATATGTAATAAATTCAAACTTATTTAGTAGATAATACTTTTTTGAGTAGTTGAAAAAAATTTTTTTGTCAAATTATAAAGTATTAAAGTATTTATACCTACTCATATAATAATTGTTTAAAGTATCTTTTACAACACACATATGTAGTCTTATTTCTGATAATATAAAATATCATTTATGCCTATTGTATATTCTAGGACTTATTTATAGAAATAGACAATTGGTAATAAATAATATTACAATATTGTAATTTTAATAATTTGTTAAACGCATATTGTACCAGCGTGTACTGTTTCCATCTAATAACMAATATAACATAGCAAATCTCATGCGTTATAAATAATCTATTTTACTTTGTTATTTTTAATAGGTAAAACTGACTAGTGATATATTATGATATTTAAATGTAAAAATATTATCTCATTGTAATCTTGTTTTAATTTTAAAGTAAATAAAGAGTATTTTAAAATTGTAAAATTCTATTAATATTATTTATATTATTCAATAAAGCACAACTTTTTTTTATATATGTACTCAAGTTTTAGCGATAGAAGCATTTTTTTAACGATGCAATAGGAAGGGGAAACGTTTATTTAAAAAAATACCATTATGCGTTTTAAAAATATCATAATATGAATGTCAATTACTTTAAAAAAAATTATTTAACTTGGAAATTATTTTTCTTTAAATATAAATGATGTATTCATTATATCTACCTATACTAACCGGAAATAAAGGTTCATTTTTCATGAGCAATGCAATTTCTCCATTATTACTCAACCGATTGCGTTCGGGATACAATACTGCATCAACAAATGAGGTATATGTAGCTAAAGTGATTTGCTTATTTTTGTAGGCTTGCACTAATTCTATTTTCATGCATTTTTCTTCTAAGACTTTCTGAATGTCCCTCAAGTTGGAGAGTTCTGTAAAGGTCTATTGCGCAAAAAAAAAAAAAAAATTAATTAATTAATAAAAATAACAAAAATATGGAATTATTTATATTTTACTTTGTGGAAATTAAATGTTTCATTGAAAGCTAAAGGAAATTTGGGTTCTACATACGATGTGCTACTGTTATATCCGAACAACCAAATATCGAGATATATCATTCCTTTGGGACATATCCACACACCGGGACACGTKACCTGTAGTTAAGTATAGGTATTTAATATTATTGATTTATTTTGTTGATCAAAACCGTAAATAAAATAAATATAGTAAAAACAATAGAAGATAATAATAGAAATTAGTATATTGGTGGTTTAGCAAAATAATGATACTCACGTCTAAGATATCTAAAATTACACATATATTAAATGATTTACACGACATGATCATCAACAGCTTATGTACGAGTATTTTTGTGTACCGGCGCGCAATAATGGAAACGAATAACAGTCAAACATTCCTAMATAGCACCGAATAGGTATACAGGATGTATACTTGCGTGTTAAGAACTTTTGCTGGTGTATCCAGGGTAACTTGCTTTTGTATAGGTATAACACTAAACCTTAAGACGTAAGATGGTTCAATAATAACTCACTACTTGTATATATATATAAGTATGCTTACTTACCTATCAAAACTCGTCCGAGGACTTTTGGTTGAAATTTTTGTTGATCGTATAACAAGATTAATGTATTTATATAAAAAATAAGACTATGGAAACGGTACCGAAAAATAAAACTCTTCTCGTAGGTAATACCTACTCTAATATTTTTCAAATACAAATAAGTAACTGTTGTTAACCATTACTATTACTATAAGCAAATTACATAGTATTGGAAGGTATTAATTAAATAAAGCATGCAAATGTGTTAATATTATAATACAATTTAAATATTAATTAATATTTAATAATATTAAAAATATTATTATAATTGTCGAAGCTAATTGTTTACAAAGTTTCTTTTAATTAAAAAAAAAAAATATTATTGTGATTTTAATACAAATAATAAAAGTTAAATACAGAATATGCACAGTTAAATAATAACAAAATATTTTGAAATATAAATCTATTAGTATTAATTTCATGAAAACCAAAATCCCGAATCTATTTTCCCAATAGCCCATTTTACCGCAAATCACAATGCCATCTCACAAAATTTCTAAATTCTGAATTTTTTTTTTTAATGTTATTTTTAGGATATACCTATAGATGTTAATATAGTTACTATATGTAAGGTACCAATATAAGTATTATTAGTATTAAGTAGGCTTATATTAAAGAGTATCTACCTTCCTATATGTTTATATTACCAGCTATATACCCACTTTAATAAGCTTAGGTGTCTTTTATATATTAATATTTGATACTTATTAATAAAATATAATTCAAGTTGGCATATTATAAGTATATAATATAAATATTACACTTGGATGGTATGTTGAGAAGAAGATTTTTTAAGACAAAATATGAAAATGGGCTCATCACATCAGAACTAAAAGATTAGCTTTGAATCATCGTCTTCGCTTACTTAAACCTTTACTATGCAATAATAAATACACATCCACTAAAACTAAGCTTCTTATATACAAAACKCTATTAAAACCACTATGGACCTACGGCCTTCAACTTTGGGGCAATGCGAAAAAGACAAATATTCAGAAAATCCAAACCTTTCAAAATATTGCACTTAGAAAACTGACAAATGCTCCACCCTACGTTTCAAATCATAYACTACACACTGACTTAAAACTCAAAACAATTAATGAGGAAGCCAAAATCTTTTATAAAAGATTCTATTGCCGCCTAAATAATCATCCAAATCAACTTGTTATAAACTTTGCCACTCCCACGATACCTGGAAATCCTCCGAGACGTTTGAAGCGTAAGTGGTGCCGTGATTTCTTAAATTAATTTAAAAAAAAAATAAATTAAAAAAATTATAAATTAAATTAAACTATTCAAGCTAACGGAAAGTGTCATCAATGGGTGCAGCTCCTTTCAACAACATTTCATGACCTGTTAACTTTTGTCTAGATATAATTTATGATACAGATTGTTTATTACTTGTAAAAAATATATATATATATATATAAATGGCTAACTATAACCCACCTTGATCATATTAAAAATGTATCTACAAGTTTTAATTTTCGTATTTTATAATTATTACGCCTTTTCTTTTGATTTATTAAATTCTGTTAAAATGTTCGAATTAAAACTATTGCTGAGCCCTATTTAAATTAATAAATTAATAATTAAATAAATTATTTATACCTATATATTTTTTTTGCAACTATTATACAGTAGAAACTCGATTAACCGTCAATGTCGGTACCGGAACAATGACGGCTAATCGAATACAGAGGGTTAACAGAAATACAATAATACAAAACTATTTTTCAATATACCTATATGTTTTAATACGTAATTTGTTGACAATAATAATAAATATAATAATAATACAATAACAATAAATAATAAAATAATAATAAATAATAAATACTAATAGATAATATACCTAATATGTAATAACATAAAGAATACCATTCTAAAAAATATTAAAGAAAATAATCCATCCGTCATCTTTTTCTGTTTTTATCCTCCACCTGTTAGTACGCCACTGCAGGTATCTACCAATAGTAAGTCTGTATTTAATGATGATTTATGACGTGCACCAATACGTTCATTTGGTAATCCTTCTTTTTAAATCAAAAAATCCTGTGTTTAAAAATGTTGTGGAAATATAGGTACTAGTCGTAAAAAGAGCGCACTTCGAAAAAATTATATAAGTGGATGAGCTTATGCAGAACGTTACCTACTTAAACCGTACACTGTACAGTGCCACTGTATAGCATCAGCATAAGTACTGACTGCGCGCTGATGTATTTATGTTGGGTATATTATTATTATATTAAGTATTAGTTTATAATAATATGAAATTATACATTACATTTAGTATCGCGTGGGCTGCCCGCAACCGACATAGTTATTTGCAAATATTTGTCCTACGTCACGTGCGTTATTATTGTTGTTATTACAACTACGACGACAACGACGACAATATTATTATTTATGTCGTGTCCGCGAAATAGTGTGAATTCGTCCTCCCGCGCGGCCTTTGCAGCAATAATCTCCGCATTGTGCTGCTTGTCCTCTGAACGATCGGTCTGCCGAACCGCGGTCAACGTAACCATTTTGAAAACGTGCGGTATGTTCGGTATACTGGTCCTGCACTTGTCAGCGGCGGTGTTGCTGTTTGACCGCTATGGTTGTAACGGTCAGACGGCCGAAGTCAGCTCGCTGACGTCCCAGATCGGCGGTCACGCGGTATTCGAATGCCCGGCAGTACCGCAACCGCGGTACAACGACGGCGGTATTCGCCGTCTTGTAGCCGTACGTTGGACAAAAGACGTGAGTGCCCACTTATTCTCGTGATATAGCAGCTATATTGAATTTAAATATGATTATCTTTAAATTTGGTATATAAGAACTATAAAATGTAACTTTACTCTTCATTGTAAATCTAATGTCTTGGAAATTAAACTAATTATTATAACAATATTCAAGGTTACTACGCTTGTAAATTGTTATACAATATTATTGTTAGTAGTCGTTTATTTTATAATTAGTTAATCAATAGGTATACCTAGTWAGTAATAATATAATATTATAACATTACGACTCGTAGGTACACATAAACGACTACCATATAATGAACAGGTTGGCGTGTGTATTCGACAATGCGCTAAAACCTAAGATACTTGATATTAAATCTATACATTTTGAAGAGAAAGTTTTTTTATTAGGCTTGAATGGCTTTGCGAATAAAAAGTTGGAAAGAGTGAAGAAATTTAAATRACATTTAACAGGTAAGTCTTAAAGATAGATTTTTTTGGTAATACTTCCACAGTTTATTAAGTATAAAATTTAGCGTGTTTCTTTAAAAAAAATATCATTTAACAATTTATATTTGTGAATAGCAGGAATCATTTTGTAGTTAAAAATTATAATATGTTGCAGCAAACGCAACCGTCCACAACAGTTTGCAATTGTGTTAAATTTTATTATATTCCTTTCACAGGGGCAGACAGTATTTACGTGTTCAGAGGGTACGTTAACCACTGACGAGCGGTATGACGGACGAACTACCGTGGTTGAACCTCCAGATTTCAACAATGCAGTCTCCATTGCAATCAACGTTTCTAGTCTTCGAGAGTCAGACACAGGTAACTACGAGTGTCATGTGACTTACAGTGGTGATGCAGGTCCGCTACATCATTCTTCGTCACGATCACCTTTACCGACACTGTCATCACCCCAATCGATTACAGACTCACCGTTGAATGCAGTCGACAAGGGCATGGTGGGTGGTAYAGCTGGCGTACGGTTCAGACTTGATGTGCAAGGTGAGGCCTAATTTTAACACTAATTAGTATATATAATGTATATATAATTGTTTATTATTATATTAATCACAGTATAAAAATATAATTATATTATTTTATATTTCAATCCTCAAACCTGAAGAGAATAAATTAACTCTACTTATAATTAAAATTTAATATATGATGATTATTAGTTTCCTATTCATAATAATAATACATAAATATTTATGGAATTTTTCTCTTTTTACTAATATAAGTATTTATATACCATACAAATATTAATTAACATAGGTGCAAATAGGGGAGATTTAGGGACGAAAACCTCGCCAAAATTCAAAAGTCTTATTCAATATTACTATAGTAGGGATTCAACTCTGCCAAATTTGCGTCTACAAAAAGTAAATTTGGGGATTTTACGAAAGATATTTTCTTATAGAATAGGTAGCCAGATATGTAGTATATTTCATTGTCCTTAACATTTCAAAATTACATAGATTATGCCTGTAGCTATGAACCTATAATTAATAATTATGTCTATTAAACCATTTTATTTATATTATACGTTTTTAATATTGATATATAGTACCTATACATTATAGCGTATTTGCTATACATAAAGACAAACTATAATAATTACAACGTGTAAACAATAAACGTTAAGAAATGAGTCAATTGCTTAATATTTAACAGACATTTTAAAGAGTATAAAAAATGGATCAAGAAAGACAAATGTATTAATCACGAAAACAGAAATAATTATTATATTAAAGCTTAGGTACTAGGTACCACCGTACTGTCCGTACTTGTGTGGCAATGTACCTATATGTATGAGCTGCAGAGAACACTGTAGTTAAATTATTTATTTGAATCATGTGAAGCAAGTCAAATAACTTATATAGTTATCTACTTTAAGTCTTCAAATAACAATAAATGGTTCATTATACTTATWAGTAATAAATTATAAACAAATAAAATAAATGTTATTTATTGTAGGAAGTATAATCTACCATTTTAAACGGTTTAGAATAATATGATGCAAAAAAACATAATAAATTGATGTTTAGATAGTTATAATAGTTAAATAAGTTATAGTAGTTAATGATTTAGTTAAGCACTCCATTTTAACAAATGATTTGTTATAGTAGGTGTACCTATTAATAAAAGAAGGTAATCATTAATTTTAACTTAGGGACAACTTTGAACTACCTATAGTTGTTGAAATTGATCACGAAAAATAAAGCTACCTATTAGGAACCTATCTAAATAAAATATTTTTTTGTTATATTATSTTAGGTATCTGCATTAACCTAACCTAACCAGAAATTATATGTACATTTATTTATAACTATTGGTAAGTAGGTACTTACATCTTATTCAGAACATTAATATAATACTGTTTTAATTGTTGATCTATAATAGTTTTTATACTTGTATAGCTAATAAAACTAATGATAAAAAAAAATAGTATTTTAGTGTTTACATATAAACAAAATCTCTGTGGCGTTGTTTAAATAACTGATACCTAAGTAACAGGTATAGTAATATGGACGAATTAGGCACTGATTTAGTTTGAATTTATCCACGAAATTGTTTCATCACCAACTTCAACCATCATAGAATAATACGTAAAATAATAATTTAGGAGTTTAAATACAATAATAGTAATTTCTGACTAGTAGTTAAAATATAATAACTGTCGTTTGTGTCTACTGAGTTGTGAGTAAAAAAGAATTTTTGTATCCAAGACATTTCAATATGATAATAGTAATGATTTTTAAATGATTTATTTCATTATAAAGGACGTAAAAACAAGTATACGCTTCTAAATAATATGTTTTAAGCGTTCTTTTACTGATTTAATCGTGTGTGACCTTGACTTACTGATAAAATTGAACATTGTTGAAGACTACGAGGTCAGCCTACAAGTACATATTATTCAGGGTCCCTTTATTAATTATTTATTGGAGGTATTGTTGACAGGATGGACTATAATATGAAGAAGTGAGTCGAATGGCTTGTATGTACCAATCAAAAATATCTCACAACGTCTGTCAATAAAGCTAACATATTATTTACCGTGATACTACTTTATATTTATTCATAGTATAAATTATTTTTTAAATTAAACCCTTCCCTTTCATAATATATACTTAGGTTAGGCTTGCATAATTTATACATTAGGTATGGTCTTAACTCTTTAGACATTATAAATTGACTGGATACCTATTTACAAATTCTATGATAATTGTATAATCGTTGTAACAGTTTCTCAACACAATAAAATTGTCTATGGTTTTATTATGTAGGTATCATCTAACAAAAATGCTACTACAGTATTTATATATTAATTACAATTTTAAAGTGTGAAATGTGAATAATAATATGATAATAACGACAATAACCTTTTCCTCTAAAATTAAATTAATGCTTCCGTATATACTATATACTACATTAGTTATATTCTCTACAGTTCTACCTACATAAAAATTAAAACGAGAATTTATTTATTAAAACCTATATACATATATATATATATTATTTTTTTTATTAGTTAACCCGCGGCAACATAGGTCATTGGGTGTAGGGGAAGGTACTGTAGGGTTTTTAAGTTGGGTAGATTTTTGGTACGTGTGTGTTTTTGGCAGAATTTATAGTTGGCACCCGTAAGTTTCTGCCATGCCCGTGAGGGGGGGCGGCGGMCTCTCTTTCCAAAGTCCAGACAGCGTGAACTGCCCGAAAAGTGATGCCACCCATGATC